TCAAACTTCTGGGCTCAAGTGATTCTCTCGCCTCAGGCTCCCAAGTAGCTGGGACTTACAGAAGCCCACCACAACTCTCAGCTATTTTTAGAGATAGGGTCTTGGTCTTGCTCAAGCTGGTATCAAAAACATGGGCTCAGGCAATCCACCCGCCTCAGCCTCCCAGAATGCTAGGATTACAGGCGTGAGCCACGGCACCCAGCCTTTTGTAAAGTTTTTTAAAAACTTAACTGATTTAAAAATTGAAGAAAAACAACTCGTAGAAAAATTACATTTTTAAAACCGTTTGAATATTTTTCTTTCTTTTGAAATATTTTTATTGCCATTATGTTGAAAGATGCAATCGTATTTGAGAAAATCCAGTAAGTCCTCAATTTCTTTGCTTCATCACTATGCGTATACTGCTGTGATATCACTGACACTCAGTTAAAGCAAAGAAAGATTATGGTCAACAGGCAACAAAAAAAAGGAAAATGTCTAGCATCATTCTTTTTACATCTGTCACAGAGTACAATTTTGTATAATACTTATATCTCCAGCAAGTAGCAATCTTTAGCATTACTGTGCTATCACAAAAAAAAAAGTTATTCTGTTAGACTTCAATCACTTACAATCATTTCACAGCTCCCCTGGAATACCCGGCCAATAAAAATGTGTATATAATATTTGAGAAAAAAGTCTAAAGGTCTCCTCAATTTAGATCCATAAGAAGTTTGAAACAACTCTCCTAAAACAAATTCCTTCACCAAATTACTCTTGCCTCATTTAAAAGTCATCCCCAAAGAAATCATCCAAAAAAAATCATTTCCATGTCATTTAACAATTTAAATTAAAAATCTACAAAACACTGTCAAAACAGAAAGTATACACCTAATCATTACTATGATGAAAACATAAACAAGAGATTACTGGGATTTTTTTAGCATATCTGAAATTCTTTAAAATGTATGTATACATTTTAGGAAACATTTGATATTGTTAAACCTCTTGATTTTTGCTAACCAAAGTCAACAGTGACAAAAAATTTATGCATCTTTGATTTTTCAGCAATTAAATGAAATGGCAAGGTAAGCCAATGCTTCTAAGCCATTCTCTTATTGTGTATAGTGATTGTGAACTGAGTATCTCCAAAAAAATCAACAGTTTATGCTATTCCCCATTCCTTTTTAGTTTTTGAGAATGAATGAATTATTAAGAAAACCAAACTACTGTGTCCCCACTGTCCTGCTGTGCTACCTCACACCCGACAACGTAGCAGTTATGATGAATGTAGAGACTTACCTTCCACTGCTACAGAACACAAAAGATTTTATCATCAGACAAAAAATCAGGGAGCTTACATGAATATTCCTATCTTAAGCTAGAAATAAGCAAGATGGAGTAACATTTCAGTCAGAACACAGTTCATACTGTCTGGCAAATATTTAAGACATATTAAGGCTATCAGAAATATTAACCAAATTAGCTGTGATAGAAAAGCAACTGAATCTTAATCAGGTATTATAGAAGTAGCTGACATATGCAGGGAAAAAAACTGATAATTAAAAGAAGAGCATTTCAATTTAAAAATACAAAAATCACAATTACTAAAAAAGTACCCACTAAAATAAAAAACAAACCACTATTATTATACAGTACCTATAACACACAGCAAAATGGGCATATGCGGCTACAATCCAGTTGTGATGGCCTGCTACTATTAGCACCTTTCGTGGATCCACAGGAAATCCTGTTGATTTTAGAAAGAGAGATGTTTTACATTCAAAACATGGGTTGGCACCAAAAACACAGGTTGGCAACTTATGGCCTATGGGTCAATTCCAGCCTTCTGCTTGTTTGGTTAATAGTTTTGCTGGAACTCAGCCATGCTTACTTGTTTACATGTTATCCATTACGTGCTTATGCTAAAATGGCAAAGTTGAGTAGCTCCGACGGGGACTATATGGCCCACAAGGCCTAAAGTATTTCCTATCTGCCCTTAACCAATAGTTCGCCAATCCCTGTTCGGAAGATTCTGGGCTAACAGAAGATCATATAACATTTTAAATAAAAATTACATATATTAAATGAGACTTTTCAAATTGTAAATGATAAATCTGGATGAAAAAAGAGATGAAGCAAAGTCTGCATCTTTAAAAGTATCATCTAGAAGTAAAAACATACTTATTTTTCTGTTTCTACTTACGCAATCTTTGCTTACCTAGCTTAACAGTCTCTTCTCCACTTCCAGAGAGAACAGGCTGAGTACCATTTCCCCGGGCTTCACCTTCTGTAGAATTTAGTCCATTTCTAGAATCAGCAGATCTAGCTGTGTTATTTATTTTGCGACTAGGAATACCTACAAAGGGGAGAAGACAAATTTATTTCTAAGTCTACCTTCCAAAATTGAAAATATCACATTCTAATGAAGCAACAGAAAACGTGAATTTCATTATAGCCAAAGTACATCTTCTAATACGGCAACTTACTGCAAATAATTTAATTAGAATAAGAAAATAAAATAAAAATACAGTGAAATTCTTTCAACAGATTTCTGGTATTTGTTTTACTATTTATAATAAATAGGATTAGGATGTACCATATTATGCTCCACTTTGACCTAGCTCTAGGTTACTAAAATCAATAGATTATTAATTCACTGAATCTATGAGCCAGGCTTTACATTTATGTTATAATTTCTGTATTAAATACTACATACTAATTTAATGGCTTCAGAACTGAGCTTCCTCACATTTTCAAACATCCTTTATTTGACAGAAACCCTTAGTAAAAATGAAATTTTGCTAAGAAGCACATTATAACACAGGTAAAGTCAGTCCTCCTCTAACTAGCAGGGTTGAGGGGACACTGACATACCTCCTCCAGTTTCCTAAAAAGGAATCTGATAACTAGTGCTCTGACACAGGGATTAGCAAACTACTGGCCATTGAAAATATAGCCCAATGGCTATTTACATTAATAAAGTTGTAGTGGACAAAGTAACCCCCATTTGTTCATATAGTGTATGTGGCAGAGTTTAGTAGTTCCATCGGTATCTTTTGGCTCACAAAACCTACAGAAAAAGTCTGTCAACTACTTGCTATAATATATGTGTAATATGACTTAATTTCTGCAAAAATTAAAGGTTTTCCATTTCTAATAGATTTATGGACAAGAAAGTCAAAATTCAAAAACAGTTTTTTTTTCTATTTTTAAGTTTGCACTTGCTTAATGATAAAGAATTTTTAAAAAGAGCAAATAAAGCAGAAATACCTGGTGGAGGCAAGTAACCATGAAAAAGCACACTGCCACAAGATGAACGCTCCAATTCTTCACACAAGAGCAGCCTTCTTACTAAAAACATTGCAAAGAAACTTGTCAAGAGCACATGCAAACAGAAAAACAGCCCTCCATTTTTACTTTCTCTAGTTAAAAAGGAAAAGGAAAGAAAAGGAAAATGTTTAAGTCAGAGTTGACAACATGTTTTTCCAGAAAATCGACAAAAACTAAGCACTGAACTGTTGCACCAAAAACTAGGACCTGATATAGAACACATTTATTTCATTTGAGCAAGTTTAGTGCACAAAGGGTTAAATCATAAAATAAAATATTAAGAGAAAACCACATACCTAAGGGAGTAATTCCATAAAATTCTGCTTCATGCCTGAGCACATTAATACTCACTCCCCTAAAAAAAAAAAAAAATGATATAAATTCTTTAACAATGTAAATCTGTATTATCATCTGAAGCAAAAAGAAAAAATATTAAGTCCTTAATGTGAACAAAGCAAAAAGGTTTTAAAACTTTACTTCTCTCCTAATATTCTTTATTACTAATAGACTTAATCATTTTAAAAAGTCTAAATAAAAACTTGACGTGAACTACACATTTTGATACCTACTTAACCATTCAAACATGGATCCAATGGGTGACTAAACAAGAAATTAAGGCTCTCTAGGGTCAACACAAATAAATTATCTAGAAGTATCTGATAAGGCAAACAATAAAGTGGAAATCGCTCTTATAGTATTGCTTTAAATTTTTATCATAATTATTTCTACATGTTTTAACCTCCTCAATTATACTGAGAGCTCCCTGTAAGCATAATCTACTTCTGATCTATTTTGTATATCTCACACTGCGCCTAGCACAGCATATGTAATACATAAATGAAAGTTGTACAATGAATACTATTGAACAAACGAACAAAAATGGGGAAAATCAACAGTTCCAGGAAGGGCTATGCTATCCAGATGAAGATGATGTTACTACATAGTAACATAGTTGAGTCACATGAAAATAAAAAGTAAAAAGAACAGAAGTTTCAGAGTTTACAATACTAATGGTTCAGTTTAAGTTTCAGTTACAATTTGTCCTTTAAAAACATTCCCTGGACTTAATAAACACATGCAATTCCAATATTAAATTGTATTTACTTGTAAAACTAGTTATGACTAGTAGTTTAACATAAGAATGCTTAAACTTTATTTCAAAATCATTTGTGTTAACAGTACAGTGTTAATAGCCAAATTCAAGGTGACTCAGGATACAAACATGTACTAGTTCTTGAGAAGGTCCAGTCTCCTGGGAGGACAGGCAAACAAATATGGTAATATAGTACAATATAAGGATAATACAAGAATTTTATGCAAGAAATACGATTACAAGACAGGGTTTTTGGTGCTTTTTTTCCTGTGTTTTTTTTCTTCTCATCTTCTTTTTAGAAGGTACCACTCAGAGAACTTAAATGTTCTAGAATTCTTTAAGTGAAAAAAGGCAGTAATCAGTTTAAATACCTAGGTACTGACGGCTTTTCTTACCGATTACTGCCTTTCCTGAATGATATGGGTGTGGATTAGTCATAATAACACTGATTAGAAGCAAGGTTAGGTTTCTTTAATCAAACCAGATGGGGGTCAAAATAATGTTACTCAAGAAATGAGTAGGTTTGGCGCCTGTAGCTCAGTGGTTAGGGTGCCGGCCACATATAGCACGAGGCAGGCGGGTTTGGACCCGGCCCAGGCCTGCTAAAGGACGACAACAGCAACAAAAAAAATAGCCAAGTGTTGTGGCAGGCACCTGTAGTCCCAGCTACTTGGGAGGCTGAGGCAAGAAGATCGCTTGAGCCCAAGAGTTTGAGGTTGCTGTGAGCTGCTATGCCACAGCACTCTACCGAGGGCGACATAGTAAAACTCTGTCTCAAAAAAAAAAAAAAAGGAAATAAAAAGAAACGAGTAGTTAATAATGTAATGATGTACTTACTTCTCACCCTCAAACCAATCCTAACCAAAAAACAAAAAGCCCCAACAACCCCTCTATTCATTCCATAAATATTACATTATGTGCACTGTTTCAACAAAACAGCAAGCAACAAACCAGACAAGTCCAGAATCCTCAGCTATGAGTCCAACAACATGTTAAAGATTTTTAAGCACAGTATTAACCTGATTACATTTATATTTTTAAAAGACAATTTTTGTCTGCAGTGTGAAAAATGAACTGGAAGGATGCAAGAAAGGAGGCAGGGAAACGGGTTTAGGAAGCGGTTAGAGGACCGTGAAGGAAGAGAGGGTGGGGCTTGGATCCACCAGAGTGTAAGTCTGAGAAAACCTTCAATTCTAAGGTTGGGGCTTGGATCCACCAGAGTGTAAGTCTTAGAAAAAGAAAAACTCTTCTTAATAAAATACCTGTACATAAAAACAGATACCAATCAGTAAGAGTTTACTTTGAGAAAGATGCATTTCTTACCTTAAATCTAGTTCTTTTGTCCGAAGAAAATTTAAAATGGGTGCAAATGCTGCCGGATCTCTATCAATAAATATCTGTAAACGAAAAACTGTCTTATTTTCAAACTAAAATTACACTTTTAACGTCAATATGTGTAACACTAACAGGGAACAAAGATCAAATTATTTATTATAAATTCTGTATTTCCTTGTTTCTGCTCTTGAATGAAGTTATAACTATGTGCATCTAGTGTAGTAGTATTTTCTCTCCCTGAAAAGTTAATACTAAATTGATATTTTAATACATAGGGGAAGTGTTATCTAGTAAGTTAATTTTCTCATTTCTGTTTATTGCTATCTTTGGTAAAAGTGACACTTGAGGAAATATTTTTATCTGAAATTTTCTAGAATTCAATAAATATTTGAAAATATTATGAATAGTACTTTCTTACATTGTTGAATCATTAATTACTGTGATAGTTAATTATTACTTATGTAATTTGTGATTTATATATGGCTCATTGAAACAACAATATACTTTCATAGAACACACAGGGTAATCAATAAAGTAAACACTTTACACTGTTATGAAAGCTGGAAAAAGAATATTATTATGCTCATAAGATTTTTGTATTTACACTTTTACTAATTTCAATTCCTTTGAAGACTGGGCAGAAGTAGCAATAAAAAAAATAAATGTTTTTTGAAATAACAGGCTAGGTGTGGTGGCTTGCACACCTGTAATCCCAGAGTTTTCAGAGACCAAAAAGAGAGGATTATTTGAGGCCAGGAGTTAGAGAGTGACTTGGGCAATATATCAAGATCCTGTGTCTACAAAACACTTAAAAATTAGCCAGGCATGATGGCATGGTCCTACAGTCCCATTTACTCAGGAGGCTGAGGAGAAAGGATCACTGAGGCCAGGAGCTCTATAGTGTGCAGTGAGTTGTGATCCCTTCACTGCATTCCAGCCTGGGCAACAGAGCAAGACTATGTCTCTAAAAAATAAATACACAAACACATAAATGACAAATACAGCACCACAGAATACATAAAGGGAAAATAAAATGTTTAAAAATATGAAATATACAGCCGATAGCTTTTTATGGGAATACATACCAACACTGTATTTTGAATCAATTACAAAAGGTCCAATCATAAAATTGAACACCTTTTAAAGCTTCGGTCAGTCACTCAGAAAGGGAAATAGAAGCCAATAACAAAACTCTTCATATTGCAATCAACTATGTAAATGTAATCCTTGAAGTTCTTCTACACTTCATAAATTATTGCCCTTGTTTTTATTGGAGCCAATCAAAAATTGAAGAAACATCCCAAATTTGTGGAGCTCTTATGATGACTTTTTTATGATCACAGATCTGCCTCTGCTGCCTTATTTCACCTGCAAACTTCATCATGGCAAATAAACACCACTGGTCATTTTTTTGCTTCTAAATTCATAAACCAATTTTTGCACAAAAACTTTACAAAACTTTATATTCCTCATTGCACCACTGCTGTACAAGTTCCTAGGTTATTCTCCAAAATTCACAATAGGACTTCATTCATTTGTAACCATTTATCATTCTAATATCAAAACATTTTAATATTTATATCTACTTTCTGTTAAAGCTTCATTATTGATCAAGAAATATTTCCCCTTTTGCCAGCATAAACTCTCATTCTACAATCTCTCTAATCATGAATACTTAAATTGCTATATACAGTATTCCCTATTTAGGGCTCTTTCCTAAACTAAAGAAACACTATATATCAGAAATAAAACTACATCACTTTCATTTACTGGATATTAAAATATCAGCTTTCCTATCTTCTTAACCATAAATTAGGACCAAGCATTATAAAGATTAACTGAGATTATTGAGAAACACATTATACTTACAGCACCAGTTTCATCTCGAAGTGTTGAAATTCTTCCACTCAGCAAACTAGAAGTTATTAATAATAATCTATAGTTAGTTTTTAAAATGTGAATATAAATGTTCTAATTCTTTATCAAATGTCAAAGTGAGTCATCTTTCTCTAAATGAAAGAAAATTTGTATTTTAAAAGTTAATTTTTATTAGAAAATTAATTTAACTGACATGGAAAATACCACATTTTAGTTAATAAGCAAATGTATTAAAATATATTAAAAATTACATAAAATACCTGGAAAAAAAAGAATCTGGAATCCACATAAGAGTCTGTCTTGAGGTACTAAATCTGCAATTAAAAATTACCCAGTATTACATCAGAACATGATTCAAAATTTCAACATTGTTTTAATATGCTGGATAATGACTCATACGCTGTTTTATAGTTATAGTTGTATCAGTATAGTTATAACTTAATATTTTTAATTTTTGCTATTTTTACTTCAGAGTTGAAATTATTCAAGGAGCTCTCAATAAAATCAAACAATTATTTAATGTTTCCTAAAACAGTATTTTCCAGTAACCTAATCAGCTGGAGAATGACTGCTTAGCCCATCACACTAAGTCTCAACTTCTAATCATAACACTCAAAATTATCTTCAGGTGTCATTTCACCTCTACAACACAAACTTTGTTTTCCTCTTCTAATAAGACAGTATTTCTTAACATCCCCAAACAATGCAGAAACACTGCATTTTGGTAACTTATCCCAGCTAGACTGCCCTCTTCATCCAATGATCCAAGTCCTAACCATCTTTCCTCATACCGCTCGGGTTTTATCTTCTCTGTAATGGCTTTTCCAAATATTCTATGCTATATTATCTCCTTTTAAGCTCATAGTAATTTCACTGTAAATTAGTCAAGTAACATTTTCTTTACATGTAGTCCCAAGCTATTTACAACTGTTGCATTCGTTCATTCAAAAATCACTCAGCACTTGTTTTTAAGTTAATTGTCATTTGATCAAGTCTGATTATTAACACCAATTCTGGGGAGGATCTTTAGCAAAGTGAAGTATAATAGAGCGGGACGATAAACCAATAAGTGACATGAACTAATATGGCAAAGAAAGTAACACACCTCTCATTCAGTCCAGCCCTTGTCTGAATATTTTCATTTTAAGATATCACACTGAACTACAATGTTGCCTCACAGAGAAGAGAGAGTGGCAGACCTCTATGTTCACTCCACATTCATTTTCTGGCATTATGTGTAATCTTTAAACTTATTTTATCTTCCAAACTTAAACTAATAAGCAAGGTGACTGAATTGTGCCACTGGTTGCCATGAGCTATCACCACAAAACACATGCAAGCCTTGGACAAAATAGCTTAGGGACGTTCCCCAGTCTGTGCAGGGCAATATTGTATCACCTCTCTATTGTCCCCACCACCTAAATCAACAGCTTGAAATCATCAGAAAAGTGGATATTGCTTACTCTCTGTTCATCGCAGCCTATCAAACCTCAAAATCCATTTCATTTCCCTTCCCCATTTCCAAATGAGATATCAAATAAAAGGGAGAGATGATACCCAGGAAGAGTACGATCTGATCTAGAAGGACAAAAGGCTTCTTGCAGAAACTCAAGGACACTTCTATAAAGTCCTCCCTATGGTAACTCAGCTCCTAAGAATTTGTAAAAACAGCTCCTGGGCCCTTGAACTAAGGCTCACTTCAGCTTCTGTAAACCCTGCACACAACACCTCCAAAGAAAGGCAATATGATCATTCTTTTGTCTGTCTACTTGTGAGTCTAATAAAAGGACAGGGCTGATCAGGGAGCTCAGCCATCTTGGACACTAGTCCACCCACGTTCTGCCGGCTGGAATAAGGCCCCTACCTCTTTCAAACACAGATGTTCAGGTGACGCTTTCTCTCCATCAGGCCTTGTTTTGCTGCAACAGCAGCAGGTTGCAGGCCGGGTTGAGAATTATGATCATTAAAGCTCATACAGAGTAGTATCGGAGGTCCCACTCATCTCTCAACTTTCCAAGTCTACCCAAGCATCTGAGGCAATGACTCATAATATTTTATCTCTTGATAAATGGATAGCTTAAATACCTATAAATTCACACTTTCAGGAATATATTTTATTTATGATAGTAAATATATATACACATATTTTTTAAAGAATGAAGAACCACCTGTAACCCCAACCATAGTGCTTGACACCTAGCACATACTCAGCAAATGCTGAAATTGAGCTGTGATAATCAGAACTATACTCTCAGTTAAACATTCCATACAAAACTGAAGGCCTTTTACAGTTACAATAGAGCATTTCCAGATGTCACTGAATTGCCCATTTTACAAACCATGTAAAGTATCAGTCTCCGTGTCAGTAACTGTATGCACTGTGCCATTAACAGTGCTCGTTACAGCTTTACTTTCAGATTTTAACTGCAATTTCCTATCATCAAAATAGGCTTTTCAATTACAAAAGATTATCCCTGCTTCTTCCCACCTAACTATAACCTTACAATCTATAAGGAAAAGCATTCTCTCATTGACTAACTAAAGGAAAGACAGTAAAATAATTCTATTATTAAAGACATATTTATATGTAAACTACAGTAAGAGGTACTTTACAGAACACACAGAAGTTTAACGCTAGCTAATTGCATAGGTTATGGAAAGACTGTTCTTAAGCAGTTCCTATGTCCATTAATCTGATTAAGGGAACAGTTTATTCGAAAAACCTTATGAATATTCCTTAAATGTATTGCTTAGCAGACTGTTAAGAAAAAATGAAAAGTACATAGATTACCACCTATTGCAGGAAACTGACTTGGTCAAATAAATCAAAGCAAATCCAGTCAATGGTAAACCAAAGGAGCAAGGATCCACTGCAGCAAAGATTCACTCTGTTTTGGAAGCCAACAAACCATTTCCAAAGAAGGACAGCTTACAACTCATGACCTTTCACATTCATTGCTTATTCAGCAAATTGTTTTCAAAGTAATTCAAATTATGTACCACTTAGAAAATTCCATAGGTCTGCTTAAAATCATACTATCAATTTCAATCAGCATTTAAGGGTGGACATAACAATGGAATTTCTAGACAAAGGGATTAAGTCTTCATGTCCACCATTTTTTTTTTTAAATACCAAGTGTTAAAACTGGTTACAAATATAACTTTAGGAAAACTAGGACATTTACACTTACATATGATGAGCATAATTATTTAAAATATATGCAAAGCCTTTTCTGTTTTTTATCTCATACCCATAGTGTACCATGAATAGGGTCCTAGGCATGCAAGCCAGTCTCAGGCAAAGAATTACCAAAGATATTAGCATACTCAGTTACACTTCACGCTATTTGCATCCTACTACTCTATCCTGAAAGCAATCTAATCAAAACTATTTAGTCTGCGTTGTAACTAGTGATGTCATTAGCCCTTACATTTTACATTAGTTACTTCAATTCCTATACCAATCCTGTAAAGTTGGCACTATTATTATCGTTTTACATTTTAATAAGCTAAGCAAAAAAAAAAATAATTTGTTCAAAGTTACTAAGCTGGTTAGAGATAAACCCTGGGAAGTGAAAACATCCATCTCACTACAAAGCTCTTTGTCCATTGAGGTCCCACTAGCTGGTCCTGACTCTCTTTCATGAGACCTAAAATCATATTTAACCACAACAGAATTAATTACAAATTGAGTCACATTGGGTTTCTTTCTCTTCATTACTTTCTTTTTATAAGTAATAAACAGTAACAATTTTTTTTAAATTGAGACAAGAGTCTCACTTTGTCACCCTCAGTAGAGTGCTATGGTGTCATAGCTCACAGCAACCTCAAACTCTTAGGTTCAAGCGATTCTCTTGCCTCAGCTTTCCTACTAGCTGGGAATACCAGGACACCCAGCTATTTTTCTTTTCTTTTCTTTTTTTTTTCCATTTTGGCCAGGGCCAGGTTTGAACCCACCACATCTGGTATATGGAGCTGGTGCCCTACTCCTTTGAGCCAAAGGTGCCGCCCTTGTCCTATTTTTTTTTTTTTTTTTTTTTTTTAAAGAAGGCCTGGGCCAGGTTCAAACCCACCAGCCCCAGAGCATGTGGCTGGCACCTAGCCAACATTTACAATTCTAAATGAAACCTCACCTCCTCTTCTTTCTAAGTCACCCACAAAGTATTACATGAATCATAAAAGTTAGTCATTTCTATTATTCCTTTAAGTATGTCCATTTTCATATCTCTCTTTTCTTGAGGGGAAAAGAAAGACCTTACCCATACCACTTCAGAGCTTCAATTCTATGCTACAGGTGGCACTTCTTCAACTTAGATGACAATCACATCAGGATTTTTTTTATGACTTAAGTGACCATGTTACTCTGTTTTGTAAAAGATGTAGAGGACTTCTAGATCCTCTACAAATGTACGATTCAAATCAAATCTAGAATATATTCTTACAACACTTCAAGTCAGATGTTTTCCACAGGCCATGTCATTACTACTCATTTTATAAAATATTTTATCCTAACAATTCTAAAGTTTGATTTTTCTTTTTACTTTTTCACGCCTACTAACAACTGCCATCTGTGTTCTAAATTTGTTAAAATCAGTAATATAGGCTCAGCGCCTGTGGCTCAAGCAGCTAAGGCACTAGCCACATACACCTGAGCTGGCAGGTTCGAATCCAGCCCGGGCCCGCCAAACGACAATGATGGCTGCAACCAAAAAATAGCCGGGCGTTGTGGCAGGTGCCAGTAGTCCCAGATACTTGGGAGGCAGAGGCAGGAGGATCGCTTGAGCCTATGAGGTGGAGGTTGCTGTGAGCTGTAATGACACAGCACTCTGTCCAGGGCAACAGCTTGAGGCTCTGTCTCAAAAAAAACAAACAACCAACAACAACAAAAAAACCCAGTAATATACATCTTAGTTTGTATTCTTTGCTAATAATATCGCTTAGAAAAATTTAAAACCTGGTAAAATTCAGTTACAAAAATAAGCACAAGGTAAAATGTTATAGCACCCTGCCTTGAACAATTTAAAAAAAAAAACTTTTTTTTTTTTTTTTTTGCAGTTTTTGGCCAGGGCCGCGTTTGAACCCATCACCTCCAGTATATGGGGCTGGTGCCCTACTCCTTTGAGCCACAGGCGCCACCCCAATTTAACATTTTAAACATAATTCTATAGGCATTAAGAATTCATTCAGCATTAAGCCATCAATTTTCAATACCAAGTAAATAACAATGTTGAATTTGTATTATAATACTGTTACGTCCTTTTGAATGTTTGAAAAATGTATTAACAATCCATAGCAACTAGAAACCAGTAAAGGAATTTTAAATGATAATACTGCTACTCTTCAGTATTAACACACAGGAGGCCTGCTCTTACTAGGTATTCCATTTTTGTATCCCTAAGTTACCAAACCTGCAATTTTTTTCAGGTGATTTTAGGAGGAAACTCCATTTCTTACATTAGGAGATACAGATCCCCTCTCTATAAGACTGGGATTCATTATTGACTACAAAACTATTGCAATTTTCAAAGTTTTGCTTGGAGGAGATAAAAGAGAAAGCTGAGAAAGAACAAGTATTACTGGGTTTTGTGATGCATTCTCTAATACACTTAGAAAGCTGTTAAATGTTCAGAATTAAAACATTACGATTTACACTTTTTATCACTAATGGTTCAAAGTTGCCATTTTTCATTTTTTTAAATATCGGTAAAATACTGGTTGAAAATCTTTCATATTCTGCAACACAGCAAAATACACTACATTCCAGAGCACTTGCTGTCCAGTTGTTGTTTTAACTCCTACCAAACCTAAAACTCAAACACCCTTCTTTCAAACAGGGCTGCCAAACTCCCCTTTCTGAAAGGAGTGGCTCATAAATTATAGGAAATCCACAAAAAGTACGATCCCTCCACCCCCAACAAGCTTAATAATAGACACAAAAAGGGACTGGAAGTCCAGAGAGAGAACAGAGAAGCGCTTTCAGTCTGTTTACTCCGAACGCACCACGCTGTGCCAATAATCCAAAGCTTCTTAGAGCCAACTGTTCAAACTGCAGTTTCTGGACACTCTGCCTTGAAACTCGAACAGATTTGTCAAACGAAGAGCCTAGAAATTCTTAATAATACCGTCCCCATTCTTCGAATTACAAATCCTCGAATTAGGCGTGGAAAACGACGCCGTACTTTGCTGCTAAAGCAAACAAACACCTTGTTGACCGAAGAGAAAGGGGGCTGGTTCTCATCCCTGACAGCCAAACCACAAGGCCAGGCTTCTAGAGAGTAAATCCCTCAAATACACCCTGAGAAGGTAAGGTAAGGTAAGGAAGGCTCTCAAGGTTCCTCTTAGCCTGACACCTTAGAAATGGGAGGGACAAAGGCTGGCATTCTAGGAAGGCTGCAACTCGGCCACATGGGCCTGGCTCTCGCCAACTTCCAGAGGGAGGCCCTTCTGCCTGTCTTCCCGGAGCAGAGACTCCCCAGCTCCAGATCCACCCCGAGCCCTTCCCGCCCGCAGGTCTCCTGCGTCGCCCACCCGGCCCAGCTCCAGCACTCGCCCCGGCTCCCGCGACACCGGGCTCCCGCCGCCCACCTGGAGGCCTCCCGCGGCGTCCCCGCTCCAAGCCCCCTCCCTACCGACTCACCTGGTCCCCCCGACGTTCAGCTGGACGATCTCGCCGCTGCCGGCTGCGGCGGCGGCGAAACTGCCGCAGTGCCCGCCCGCCATCTCCGGAGGCTCCGGGCGCGCTCGCCGGCCTCCCTCCCCGGCCGGGCCCTGAGCT